TTTGAGCAATAACATGATGCTACAAGTGGAAAATTTCACACCAGGAAACTATTTCCTGAATAATATTATTTAAAATAGTATATAAAATTACCTTTGCATGTAATGAAACATAAATGAATTTTGTGTTTAGATGTGGGCTCCATCCTCAAGATATCTTAATGCATATATGCAAATATTCCAAAATCTAAACTGAAACATTTCTAGTCCCAAGTATTTCTGATAAGGGATACTCAGCCTGTACTAACAGCAACATTCATGCCAACTACTTTTCACTGAGATAACATCATGTGCAGGGGACTGAACTTAACCTTTCACCTCCATTACATTGGGCCCTTGACTTACAAACTCAATCGGTTTCCAAGGGCTGGTTGTAACCCAAGTTGTAAATCAACACAGCTGAGATCTGCATGTTTACCTGGGTACACACTGTAGATAACAAGAGGCAGATGAATTGTCCATTAACCTAATTAACCCAAGTTGTTCGTATGTCAGCCTAGTCGTAACTTGAGGGTCCACTGTACCTCTTAACACTTACAGTTCTGAAAGTAGGTATGTACTGTAATCACATTTTATAGATAAGGGATTGAGGAGCAAGGAGGTGAAGTAATTTGCCTAAAGCTGCCCTTGTGGTAAGTGACAGGGTTAGGATGAACTCAGGTCTAAGTCTGACACCAAAGTCAGCTTCTCTGACAGTTCATCTTTCGGTTTACCCTTTTCACATATATTGTAACTCACCAAGCAGATTGCACATTTTTGGAGTGCTAGTCACTTCACATTCCAGTACTTAATGTGATGGTGCAAATGACTGTCAAAACTGCTTTAATCTCCCTTCCAAGATTGTTAAAATTTTAGAAAGTCCTTTAGTGGTTGAATTTTACATTTAGTGTATAAAGGTGTTAAATCTTAGGTATCACAAGCTGATTCATTGTTTTAATACACTGCATCATCTTTAGGCAAGAAAACCTTCTATAGTCAAACGATAACGATAACAAAGGAAATTATCTTCCTAGAAATGTATTTAATGAACTGGAGATTGAAAGCAATTCCTTTTCTACATCATTTTGCTTCTCGTTTTCAAAAATCTGTACCAGGAATGGTTTGGGCTTTTGCCTCCACGCCTACCCTGATTTCTATGAGAAAATCTCCAATTACTTTATATGAATAGTTAATGTTTATTCCATTTTACGTAAAGTACTATGTAAATGCAGTTTCTGATCAAGCCCCCGTAATCACCCTGCTTTTAGCTAGAATGGTATCCTAACTTCTGCAAAGATACTGAAGTTGACTCTTATTATTAAAAAGATTTCTTGGGCAGGAGTGAGACAGTGGTAAAAGATAAGGTTGCAAAAGAGAATAATATCCAGTTCAAGAAGATCTTAAGTGCCTATGAAGAAACTTGGACTTTTTTCCTGAAATTGCAACTCATAAAAAGTTCTTGATGCTTCAGGAGGGAGAAGGATGAGAGATGGATCAATGTACAAGAAGTTATTTGGCAATAGTGGAGGAAAGATACCTAGAAATAAGGAAGACACCTAGAAAAAGTGAAGCAATCCAGCAGAAGGTGATGGGACTCTGGGTAAATGTAATAAATTAGGACAGAAAAAGAACATAAAAGAAAAACATTATTTTAAAAAATCAAAAGAACTTTCATGGCTGACAATTAGATTTAGCTGTCATTACTGCTCTGATTTACTTAGACGTGCTATAATATCAAAACTACCAACTAGAAATATGCCTATCATTTTCTATAGAGATCTATTTTGTTTTCTTGGTTTTGCACTGACTATGCAATTCATGACATCATTTCCCATACTAGGACAGGTGATAGAAAGAATGCACAATTTGCAGCCAGATATTAAAAGCTTGGCTGTACTACTCATTTAATATCTATGAGCCCCTCTCAAACTGAGAAAGTACATTGTAGTCTATGAGATCCTACACAGATATAATGTGGAGCCTAAAATGTCTTCAAGAAAAAATTTTGCCACCATATTGGCTTCACTCTTATTATAAGTTTGAACATATTTTTAAATGAATTTAATGATTTCAGATTCTAAACAGCATAGAAATTTTGATGTCAATAAATACTAATGTTTTAATACCAGTGCTCTGTAAAAATTAAAAAGTAAATATTATTTGCATTATGAATTTTCTCTCCTTTAAAAGTCACATTTTTAAAAAAAAAAGTCGTTTTGGTTTAGCAGTTTTGCCCACATTTGTCTTTTTCTTAGAAAACAGAAAACTTGAGTTAATATCAAGTCTACTTACGAAATTTAGGGGATTCCTGATGCTAGTAGATCCATTCAAGCATATAAGATGAATATTCCAGAATTTTGCATTGGCATTCCATATTTGACTCTATTAGAACCATGAATAACAAAGACGTGTTAAATACATGGCTAATGGTAAATTTTAATATACTATAAGGTTTAAAGTACTGATAGGGCTTTGGCAGTCCTCATGTTTTATACTTTATTGGGTTCTGTGACTATACGAGTGATGAAAAGAAAAACTAGAAAGGCTATAAATGTATACATGTATGCACTGATGCTTCTACCATCAGCATGAATTATATAAGTAGGGTTTTCTAATATGCTTGAAGGGAAATTTACAGATATATAATTTAATTGTCAAGTAACATTAAATCTCTGTCTCACACACACACAAACACATATATACATGAAATACATACATATATATATGAAATGTGCACGCCACCAGAAATACCTAATTTCTACCCAATAAAATATTTAAAACTTTTTAAAACAGTAGGTTTCCCCTCGGTTTAGATTAAAAAGAAGTCTGAAAAATATTTCACTTTATTGCAGCATGCATAGCAATAGTGGACCTCTGCCAGCAAAGGCCTTTATCACAGTATAAATGGGGTTTTAAGTGTTTGTTTCCAGGGCAGGTTCTCGCAGCACAGGCACTTCCCAGCCTCATTGTTCCTTTGTTCTAACGGATGTACAAAGGATTGACTGTTTTGTTTTCTGGCTCAGAGAGATTAGATAAAGTCTGCATTTTTGAACTTCACCCTTTAGACATACAAACTTTAAAAATTCATTTTCTATAGATCGTATTTTGCAGATTATGTATGTTTATATTACATTTGTCACATTACTTTCTTTAACCTTCATCTGACTTGGTAGAAGAAGGAGATGACAGGATTAATCCCTTTTGGACTATCACTGGAAACAACCGTCTCTCTCCCATCCTTGTCTGTAACATACTACTTCAGCAAAAATCCACATTTTCAGTTTGGGTACCACAGCACTATTCTTGAGACTGATTGGTTATTAGAAGTGCCTTGTTCTTGCCAAGCAACAAGAAAACTTTCTGTGAGGGGAAATTATCTTCTTTCCTTTTATTATGACATCATTAATTCTAAGCTGTTATACAAGACAGAAAATTTAAATAATATTGACCCTCATAAGGAACACTAGCTTTTTCTCAAGAACCTATAAATAAGAATCAACTTGGGGATTTTTTATCTTAAGGGTCAGAAAGTTCTAAGATTTTACCAAGACTTTACTATAATGGAGGCGATTAAGGCTATCATCAGTTTAGTTTCAAAAAAATTTTCTTTTAATTCTTTTATTGCTACATTTTAGGTATAAAATACATTTACATTTATCATTGGGTGCTTGTACCTGTACATGATGTATCTTGGTTCTTATTTTTTTTCCCCATTACTTGTGCACCCTTCACCCCCTCCACCCTTCCCTATTTACATAGATTTCCTTTTTTTTCTTTTCTCATAATTTTTCCTTTCCCTTCTTCCCTTTCCCCTTCCCCTCCCACCACCCCTACACCTTTGGACTTTTCCTATTTCAAATTATCAATCATTCATTTTAATCATTTTAATCCTTATTTACACTTTCAGTTTCTCACCCTAGAGAAACTATTCGGTATTTACACTTTTGGCTCTATTTAATCAGTGATTCAGAGAAAAATGTTTTTTACAATCAAATAGAAATAAGTTTATATTACTGAATGCCCATTACATACCAGTTAATATCTCTTCTATATCTTGCTAATTCTCAAAACCCTCTTGCAATGTAGGTATTATATTGTTATACTTTCCAGACAGATGGGAAAGTAAAGGCTTAGATGGGTTAAGTAATTTTCTCAAAGTGTAGGATTTCTGAAAAACTGTCATATGTAGAAGTCTCTCAGTAGTTCTTTTAGCATTCAGAATAGGGACAATCTTATTTCTTAGATTCTACTCTTCACTCTACCAAAAGTATGGCTGTTTACTAAATACCATTGACCTAGTTTCTAATCTTGCAATATGCTCTTCGTCTGTTTAAAGTTCAATTGTGAAGAATCAACATAGACAAAGCAGTATTCCTCAACTGATCGTAGCTTTAGGAATTTAAATGAACATCTGATGTAAAACTTCTCCATTATTGCCTGCTCTGGGGACTCCAAAGTGCTCCAGAACTAAGATGTGAAAATTCTAGGGATATAGAGAAACTCAGCTGTTAGGAGAATCCATTTTGGTAAGCCAACAAATCTTCCTTAGGGAAATAATCTGACCTGTATCTTTTTTGGTTGTCTAACAGCTAAAAACCATCCAAGGTTATGTATACACAGTATCAACAATCAACAACCTAGGCAAAAGTGCAGTATGAATTCCAAATTATTTCTTAATATCTGTATTTTTCTGTTCAAATCTTCAGTATTTATCCAGGAACAGCTTTGATGTTTTTCAGTGTTCGAAGTTTGCTAAATGTGCCAGCCAAAGAAAATACAATTTTGCTTGAATTTTCAAGGTCAGGGCTACCTTAACAAAGTTTTATTAGAAAAAGGAATTCACGAGTAGTAGCTAAGTATTTTTTTAAATAAAATGGTAGGTTTGGAAGTGAACCAAAATGTTAACTTATCAGGTAGCAGATTCTTTAAGTTCTGAAAGAAAATGAATCTGGATTGCAGCAACATAAGCATTTATTTGCAAAAGCCTTCAAGCTATATCCTCTTTCTTGGAACTTCCTTTGCAGATCCTTTACCTCCTGCTAGATTTGAGGTCAATAAAGAGAAGATTACTTCAACCAGCTTGCAGGTTTGGTGGACTCATTCTCCTGGAAAAGTCACGTGGTATGAGGTGCAGTTATTTGATGATAATAACAAAAAGATACAAGGAGTCCAAATTCAAGAAAGTACTTCATGGAATGAATACACTTTTTTTAACCTCACTGCTGGTAATAATTATAATATTGCCATCACAGCTGTTTCTGGAGATAAACATTCCTCTACAATTTATACCAATGCATCAACAGGTAAGACTCATATTGTCTATGGTTAGTAATCTGTGGTATCTTTGAAGTTCTATGTTACTCAAGGAATGGAAGCAAGGATGTTCCTACACTATAAATAAATAAATAAACTCACTAACTTCTGTGATATAAATATATGAAAGACTAGGCTGAGGTAGGATTGGGGTTGTGCCACTAACTGGTTCGGTGATCCTGAGCAAATCCAGAGATTTCTCTGCACCTAGAGTTTTCTCCAGTTTGAAGTAGACGCTCTCTAATGGCCCTTCTAATTCAACCCCTGGGAAACAAGAGCGTGTTCCTCATTTTCTATGTTTGTGCTATAAAGCTTATTTCATAAATGTTTTTCTCTTTTGTACATGCTAATCATAACATCAAGTCATGATGTTTTCTAAATGTTCGTTGAAACAAGTCTTTTCTCCCTTGATATAAGTACACCCATATATCACCGTGATACCCACAGCACATTTCTACCACCTTCCACAAAATACATTATCTTTCATATAATTTATTCTTCTCTCTTTTTCTCTCTTGTTTTAGTTACCTCTCTTTCCGTTATTCGTTTCTTGTAGTTCTTTTCTTTGTCTTTTTCATTTACTGTAATGCCATGTTATACTGCATTGGGAACAACTCCCTTAATACCTATGAAAAGGAAAAAGACAGATGAATGCTGATGCAGCTTTAGGCTGTGGACTTTTGAAAAGATCACTACTGAAAATTTAGTGAAATATGAAGAGTGCTAGTATTTGTTATTGCTGTTAAACAAGTTAAGATCAACGAAGAAGCACCAAAGAATTGTGACTTCTAATTAAACATGTCTTTGTGTCTTGTGAGGGAACTAATGAATAATATTTGGACATCTGCATTTTATCCCATTAGCACCTTCTCCAGTCAAAGATATTGACATTTCCACAAAAACTAATTCTCTTCTGGTTTCCTGGTCCCATGGCTCTGGGAATGTGGAACGATACAGGCTGATGTTAACAGATAGAGATGCCCTAGTTCATGACAGTATTGTGGACAAACAGGATACTTCTTATACTTTCCGTGGGCTGATACCTGGCCATCTCTACAACCTCACTGTTGTGACCATGGCTGCAGGACTGCAAAACCACAAATGGAAACTAGTCAGAACAGGTAAGTTACTCATCTCTCACTGAACAAAAAGAACAGAGTTCAAAGTTTGAATCAAATTTATTAAGTTATTTGAATACTGGTAATATAAGACAAATTGAAATTTGTATAAGTTTTAGAAAGACCGCATATATCTACTTTCCTATGTAGAAAAGGAAGAATTCCATTTTATTCTATTTAGGCTAGCCCTTGGCAATATTTTGAAGTAGACAAACTTAATTGCTAATATGCTGCCAGCTTCTTTTTTAGTATTCCATTCTCCTTGCTAAGGATTTCTACTTCCTTCTCTTAAGTCATTCACAGTGAAAAAAGATCACTTTTCTAGGTGCTGTATATAGACCTACTCCATGAGACAGCCATTTCCAAAACTCTTTGTCCAAAAAACATATTCTAGGACCCAGTAACAAAGTGCCTATTATCTCAGCCTAATCTAAACCAATAAAATAATCTGTGCTGAGTATTAATTAATAATTTATACATGTATTCATTCATTCAGCCAATATTTATTGAATGTAAGCTATTTTTAGGCATTGTGGACATAATAACATTCAAAAAGACAAATTTGTTGCCCTAATAAATCTTACATTTTAGTAGATTTGAATGTTTCTAGTAAGTCTGCTGTGTTAGTAAATCCACTTTCTTAATAAGTTATCTAATTTTAAGATAAACTCTAAAACATGTGGTACCTTAGAAATTACTCTAGTAGTACCCTTACAAATGGGAAAGATATTGGAGACAACTATACATTTATGTACCTTTTATAAATGCCTCAAAGACATACAGATATTCCTAACAAAATGTACATGTAATCTTAGAATTATTATACGTACCAAGAACAATTTATACTTCTAAATAGCCTAAGAAAATCACTATGTTATAACCATTCTTTTAGCAAAACCATGTTAATTTATATTATGTCATCAATGAGACCCAAATTACAATATGTGTAAGAGGTACAAAAAATACTCATCAGTGTTTCTCCTTTGTCACCTTGTCTCCTTTGATGAAGCAATAACACAACTCTTTACATTGATCATGATTTAATGCAAAAAGAAAATATTTTAGCCTGCAACATTAATCATGTTATTATAAATATATATAATACACACACACACACACACATATATATATATATATATATATACTAAGATGAGACAAATTTTTGACAGACCTCTTTACACATTCTACCTAAAGAATTTCTGAGTGGAAAGGACCATTTTTAGTCTTTTTACCAAGCTTTATTTGCCAACAGGGAGCACTAGGCTTAGTGAGATAGAGAGAGCTCCCCAGAGTGCTGTGGAGAGCTGGCCAAGTCCCAAATGGAATTCAGGGTCCTGACTGCCAGGACTGTGATCTTGCCATGAGCCAGGCAACCTTCTTTAGTTTTACAATATTATTTTTATTGTTTTATGGTATTACTTTTGTCTCTCAAAGTGGTTGTTTTCTTTAGATCCATGAGTAGGCCTTGCAGGAATTAAAATACAGGTCAAAATTTAGCCATAGGACTGGTAAGAAATCCTGAGTAAAATCTCTTTTCCATTCTTTGCTAATTAGTCCCCATGGAAGTCTCAAATCTGAAAGTGACAAATGATGGCAGTTTGACCTCTCTAAAAGTCAAGTGGCAAAGACCTCCTGGAAATATAGATGCCTACAACATTACCCTATCTCACCAAGGAACCATCAAAGAATCCAGAATATTAGCACCTCAGGTTATTGAAACTCACTTTAAAGATTTAGCCCCTGGACGACTTTATCAAGTTATCATCAGCTGTATCTCTGGTGAGCTATCAGCTCAGAAGATGGCAGTAGGCAGAACAGGTAAGTCTTGGGCTCCAGAATATTCTCTGGCTACCCAAGTCATTCTCTGATCCACCTTAGAATAGGATAAAATAAGATAGAAGAGAAACTACTTTTTATACATGAGAAATAGTCCATTTGGCCAAGAGTGTCTGTGGGCCAGGACCCAATATACACAATAGTAAAGAAGAGGGTGAACTGAACTCATTTAAGTTAAGTAAATATACATGGATTTCTGAATGGTCTGCATATTATCTCTGCCCTGGTTTTTCAATGTCACATGACTTAAGTACCATAAATACATTAGAATTGCTATTAATAAAGAAAACATTTCTGATCTATTCTTTTTTTTTTTTGGTACTGGGGGTTGAACTCAGAACCTTGCTCTTGTGAGGCAGGAGCAGCACCACTGAGCTAAATCCTTGCCCTCGCTGATCTATTCTTATAATGAAGATCAGTCAGTACTTAAGCAGGCATTCTATAAATCATTTCATTAATTTATGTCACCAAATATTTATCCAGTACCTTGTAAGAATCAATTACTATATTATGAGCTTTAAGCACTGTTAAAATGGGTAAGACATGCTACTATGCTTAAGGCAACAAAGGGTTCTGCAAACCACCCTATGGCTAATCCTGGTTGGTGGCTTTTTTATATTGCCCCAACCTGAGCAGTTCTTATGTATTTAAACAGTTATAAAAACTAACAAAAACACCAAGAAATATATGAAATATAAATTATATGTGGCCTGAAAAGCTTGAAATATTTACCATTTGGCCCTTACAGAAAAAATAGTAGACACTTGCTTAAAAAGAGGTTACATTTCTAATTTTACAGATATTAAATATACACACAAAAAAACTAAAAATAATATTTCTTAATAATGGTAGTGATATTGATATTTCTGTCTCTCAAGCATTGACTAAACACTTTACATCCATTATTTCATTTATTTCTCGTGACAAAACTATGAGAGATGTTCTCTTATGATGACCACTTTGCAGATAATTCAAAAGGGTCAAATAAATTGTTCTTAACCATCCAGCCAGCAAGTGGTGGAGCTATAATTTAAACCGAGCTGTTTGATTGCAGATTCCAATCTCTGTGGTATTAGAGATCTCAGGTAAGGGCTTGAGATAAAAAAAAAAGAGAACAAAATTCTCCCTCAAAAGATGAGTGAAAACTTGGAGGAATTGGCCTGGGACCTAAAAGGTGTTAACTTCTTGACAAATGAAGGGGGCAGCGGTGAAGGGTATTTAAAGTGGAAAGAATAAGATGAGCAAAGGCACAGAGACAGAGAGCCCAGGAGACCTACAGGTCTACAGAACGTACAAGTGGAAGCCAACACTGGAAGCAGTAAAGAAGGAGGGAGGGTGGTTTCAATGAGTAAGGGATCAGAGGTAAGACTGGAAGGATATGTAGTCTGAATTTGAAGGATGTGAAGTGAAGGATTTGTTTTATCCTGTAGTTTTCTAGGAGACTTTGAATGTTTGTAAGCAAAAGAATAATGCAACCAGAGCTATATTGCAAGAAGGTGTTCTTCTCAGTTGGAAAACAAAGAATGGTTCATGACTATACCATCCAGATCTCTTCTAAAAGATTCCACATCTATCACGGTCACCATCATTAGAAGCAACATCAGTATTGTCTCTAGGGCTGGTGTGCAATTTATAAAAGACAACATTTGCATCACTAGATTATTAGCAATGTTACAGAAGAGTGTGTACTGGTTATCTTACTAAAAATGATTTTAGAACACATTCTTGAGTATCAAAATCTCCAAAATGAAAGGAATACTCGTCATCCACAGACACCAGGAGGGGATAGAAATGTTATGAATTGCAGACATTGTGTCTCCTATTTACTGTTGCCTATGGAAAGTAATTGGGTATTCTTATTTTTGATTTTTAGTATCTTCTTCTTGACATAATTTCATTATTTAGTTCCAGACAAAGTTGGGAACCTTGAGGCAAAAAACAATGATCGGATGAGTTCCCTCTTAGTGAGCTGGTCTCCCCCTGCTGGAGACTGGGAGCAGTATCGCATCGTGCTCCTCAATGATTCTTCAGTATTGCTCAACACCACCGTGGGAAAGGAGAAAACACATTACGTGATAGATCATGAGGGTCTCATACCAGGAAGACAGTATGAGGTAGAAGTCACTGTTGAGAGTGGAAATCTAAAGAATTCTGAGCACTGCCAAGGCAGAACAGGTAAGCAAATGTGAAGGTATTAATGACTGATGGAACTTTAATTTGTTCTCTCTCTGAGCAACCCAGCTAAGCACCAATGTCATAACCCAGTGTTCCCTGAATTTGAGATATCACAGGATATGTGAGATATGTAGGATAGCATAGGGCTTCTAACTTTTAATATCGTTAGAGTATCAGAAGTCCTTTCAACTCATAATGCCACTATTTCATAAAAGAACGATATTTTCAATGCCAAAAGAATAAGTATACGATCTGAGAATAAAGACAAATACTCTCTCCAGAAGACCCTTTGCTGGTGATCTAACGTGATTATTTCAGGTACCAACAAAGGGTGGTGAAAGAGCATAAGAATGTGCTTGTATATTAGGGAGAATGAGGACCCTGAAACATGGGTCTTGGTATTCTTGCTGTCGCCATTCATTGCAATCTCTTGAGTAACTCCTCTGAGCTTGTTTTCTCAGCTTTCAAATAAGAGACTCCAAAGTTCAACAAGTCTATGATAATCAATGTGATTTGAAATATTCTATACTTGGAGTGAAATTCAAAGATCTTATCTCTTAGTCTGGATCAATGATAAGAAATAGCTACATTCATTCAATATTCTTATTGGAAGAATGTCAAATAAAATGATCAAGACGCCCCCCTTAGTTTCCCAATTGTAATTATTACAGATTTTTCAAAAATCTTCCAAATTTTAATAGCCATCAGAGGATGATCAAAGACCTATATAAGCTTAAACAAAGCTACTTTTGGTATTCACAGGACAGGCGTCTTTGTCTTGCCACAATATTTTATCATTCACTTCAAATAATTTGGAAATGTAAGATCTAGACACAGTGGGGACCTCCTCATGCTGGTGTGATTCTTAGAACTTTTCTTAAACTTCACTTGCATATGATGAATAAAGTAAATCCTTGGTGTAAATAATTATTGCTATAAACTGGAGAAGAAAGATGCAGTGTTCAATTGGGATAGAATTATAGAAAATTCCTTTGATGCAGAAATCACAATATAATTTTACACACTTGATTCTTTCATAAATGGTTATTCCTTTTGGTCTGTGGCACCAACACTTTGCTGTTAGTAATATCTCCTAAAAATTGTAGTCATAAAATTTTTAAAGAAGTGAAAACAGCTTTGATCCTTTTGGTAAGAGATGTTCTTAACCAGCCACCATTATTATTTACCAGCCACCTCTCTCTTTTATGACAAAGTAGCTTTTCCTCCTTAGAAAAGAGAGAAAGAAGTCCTTGGTCTTGTGGCTGGGGATTTAGCTCAGTGGTTCTAGCACCTGCCGCACAAGTGCAAGGTCCCAAGTTTGATCCCTGGTCCCCCCCCCCCGCCAAAAGTACTTGGTCTTTTCATATTATGAGAGGTAATAAATACTCTTCACTCGACCTAAACCCTCAAACATAGACTTTCCCTTATGGTGTTGTGGATGATAGGATTGTGGTAAATATTTTTGTATCACAAAATACACAGGACAAGATAAACTCTAGTAAAGTAATATATGATCAAAAATAAATGACTTTACAACAAGTGTTGGTAATTTCCAACAGTATTCTTTTGAATCCTTGTTTCTGGTTATGTTTATAAGCCAAGTTTCTTGTGATAAGATGCTTCCTCTTAATCCCTTCCTCTTAAAATCCCTTCCTCTTAATACTCATAAGCATCTAGAAAGGAAATGTTGAACTGGAATGCTCCTGAGGATGAAAGAGAACAGCTCCCTAAAGAATATTTTAAAAGTGTGTCTAAGGCAATCAATGCTTTTTTTCCAAGTCTCCATTGCTTTTTTCCTCAGTTCCCCTGGCTGTCCTCCAGCTTCGGGTCAAACATGCCAATGAAAGCTCACTGGGCATCATGTGGCAGACACCTGTAGCAGAGTGGGAGAAGTACATCATTTCCCTGGCTGACAGAGACCTCTTACTCATCCACAAGTCCCTCTCCAAAGACACCAAAGAATTCACTTTCACTGATCTGGTGCCTGGACGAAAATACACAGCTACAGTCACCAGCATCAGTGGAGACTTGAAAAATTCCTCTTCAATAAAAGGAAGAACAGGTAATTAATCTTTATGAATTTTAGATTTTACAGTGTTCTGACTGCTGGATTATTTAAAATGCAATTGCAAGTGTTTATTATATGCCTATTATATACTTCTCATTGTTTTATAGGCCCTTTCTATTGTGTTTTCTGTTTATCAAGTTCAGCTCTTTTCTTCATTATTTCCTTCTATTTACTTTGCTTGGGTTTGTTTTGCTAAAATTGGAACACAGTAGAGAATAACCCCCTCTTGTTACAAAAGAAAGCAGAGAAATAGAACAGCATAGAGTAGAGGGAGTGTGGTTGAAAGGATCATTTTTTTAAGCTTAGAAAAAGTAATAGCATGTTTTAAGCTGATGGGAATGATTAGAAGAGAGATAAAGGGTGATGATGTAAAGAGGGGAAACTCTTGCTGTCATTCTGCGTGTAGCAAGTAGTATTGGGGTTTAGACCACAAGTGAAGGCATTGGCTTTAGAAAGGAGTATGAGTAATTTAACTTCAGTGTTAGCTGGGGAAGAAAGTATTTGGGTGCAGATACCAGTAGATGGATAGATGTACTGTAGAGCTGTTATTCTACAATTGCTCTCATTTTCTCAGTGAAATAAGAACAATGTCCTCAGCAATGCACCTTTCCAATTTACATGCTATTAATAACCTGTATTTCCCTCTCCTTTTTTGATCTGCACAAAAATATAACAATTTTTTATGCAGAGTAGAATAATTGTTTTATCCTCTTAGATTTGTCTACCAATTTACCACTTTTCCCCTCCTTTCTGTATTTTAGGAGTTACACATGATATCCTTTTCCTTCATCCTGAAGGACATTGCTCAAATTTCTTTGAGAGTTCATAGGGAAACTCTCTCTCCACTTTTGCTTTTCTGAGCATGTTTTTTTTTCAATTAATTTTGTTGGTACATTTTATTGGTATACTTTAGGTATACAATTCATTTACATTTATCTTTGGGTGTTTGTACCTGTACATGATATATCTTGGTTCTTATTTTTTTCCCTATTACCTGTGCACCCTTCACCCCCTCCACCCTTCCCTATTTACATAGATTTCATTTCCTTTTTTTTCTTTTCTCATAGCTTTTACTTTCCCTCTTTTCCTTTCCCCTTCCCCTCCCTTCACTCCTTCATCTTTGGACCTTTTTTCCTATTTCAAATTATCAATTATTCATTTTAACTCTTGTTTACACTATCAGTTTCTTACACTAGTGAAACTATTTGGTATTTACACATGTGTCCTATTTATTTCACTTAAGAGTATGGCCTCAATATGCATCCATCTAGCTATAAATGACTCTAGTTTTTCATTCTTTATGCCTGAGTAGTACTCTATTTTATTAAAAACCCACATTTTCTTTATCCAGTTTCCAGTTGATGGGCACTTGGGCTGCTTCCAAGCTTTAGCTATTACAAACTGTGCCACTATGAACATGGGTGCACATATATCACTGTGGTATGATTCTTTTAATTCTTTGGGGAAGATACCCAGCAGGGGAATAGCTGGGTCAAATGGGACCTCTAGTCCTAGTTCTTTGAGGTATATCCATACTGACTTCCACAGTGGTTGCACCAGTCTGCACTCCCACCAACAATGGAGAAGGGTTCCTTTCTCCCCACAACCCCACCAGCATTTGTTATTGGTTGATTTCTTGATAGCAGCCATTCTTTCTGGGGTGAGGTGGAATCTCACTGTTGTTTTCATCTGCATCTCTTGAATGACGAGTGATGCTGAACATTTTTTCATATATTTGTTTGCTGTTTTTACTTCCTTGTCTGAGAAATGTCTGTTCATTTCAGATGCCCATTTTTGAATTGGGTCTTTGAATTTGGGGGGTCTGATTTTTTTCAATTCTTTATATATTCTAGATAGTAGTCCTTTGTCTGAGGTACAGCTGCTAAAATATTTTTCCCATATTGTAGGTTGTCTGTTAGCTCCGTTGCTGGTTTCTTTTGCAGTGCAGAAGCTTTTTAATAAGATGGGATCCCAGTTGTTGATTCTTTCTGCTAGTTCCTGTGATGCTGAGGTTTTGTTCATGAAGTCTTTTCCTATGCCAATGTCTTCAAGAGTTCTACCTCACTTATCTTCCAGCAAGTTTAGTGTTTCTGTCTTAATATTTATATCTTTAATAGGGAAACAATTCCTTTTACAATAGCATCCAAAAAATGAAATATCTAGGAATCAATCTAACAAAGGAAGCAAAAGAACTCTACACTGAAAACTATAGCACTCTGATAAAAAGAGATTGAAGAGGATACAAGGAAATGGAAAGACATCCCTTGCTCCTGGGTAAGAAGAACCAATATAGTGAAAATGGCCATATTTCCAAAACTACTATATAGATTCAATGCAATGCCAATTGAAATTCCAACAATATACTTCACAGAACTAGAGAAAACAATCCAAAAATTCATTTGGAACCATAAGAGACCTACAATTGCTAAAACAATTCTAAGCAACAGAGACATGGCTGGGGGTATCACAATCCCCAACTTGAAACTATACTACAAAGCTACTGTGATAAAATCAGCATGGTACTGGCAAAGGAACAGACCTGAGGATCAGTGGAATAGATTAGAAGACGCAGAAACAACTCCAGACATGCTCAGCCACCTCATCTTTGACAAAGGAGCCAACCACCATCATTGGAGGAAAGATAGCCTATTTAATAAATGATGTTGGAATAACTGGATTTCAACCTGCCAGAGATTGAAACTAGACCCATACCTATCACCATGCACTAACCTGAGCATGTTTTTATATAGCTCTCAGTCTGGCAAGGTATTATCTTATGTTTTGATGTAATGCTGAAAGGATTTTCTCTTAGCCCTTTGAAGATGTTATTCTAGACTTTTTTGTTGATGCTGCTGCTACTGGTTGTTGTTGTTGTTGTTATTGTTTGAGACAGGGTCTCAATATATAGTTCAGGCTGGCCTTGAGTTCACTATGTAGCCCAGGCTGGCCTCAAACTGACAACAATTCTCCTGCTTCAGCCTCCTGAGTGCTAGTATTACAGGCATGCACCACCAAGCCCAGCTATTGTTGCTGTTGAAAAGTTAGTTGTCAATCTAATTCCTATTTTACTATGAGAAATCTGTCTGTTTAATACGATTATTTTTAAGAACTACTCTTTACTTTTGATGTTCTTTTGTTTCACAATGGTGATCTACATGTACATATATTTTTATCTTGCTATTTTCAGATAATGTCATTCCTCCAATTTAAATGTACTCATTGATTTTAATCGCTATGCTTTTCATTTTTAAATACCCTCTTTGGTTCTGTTTCAAATCTATGTTGTGATCTTTTGCTCTTTAGTTGTATTTTCATTCTTTATTAGCATTAGAAATTAAAATCTTTGTTTTAGGAGCTGGAGTTGTAGGCACCATGCCTGCCTGGCAAGCGCAAGATCCTGAGTTCGATACCCAGTACCAGAAAAAATTTTTTTTACATTTTGTTTGATCATTATAATATCTGAAATCTTCAGGAGTTAAATCTTGCACTCTTCTGATTTTGCTGCCTTTTGATTATGATGTTTTATTCCTTAGACATTTCTGATTTTTTTTTTTTGCTACAAGTTCATATTCCTTGGAATTTTATACTAAGAATTCTTTGAGGCCTTGTTCGAAGATGGATTTCAAAAAGAGGATTTTTTTTAACTTGATTTTTTTCAAGTGCACAGGACCACTGTCAACCAAGACCTACTTTAATAGAAGTTGTCAACGTGAGGTTTTTTGAACACCAGATTCTATGACTTCAAGTTATAAATACCTTGAGTTACCTTAAAATTATGAATTCTTGAAGAAGATACTTTTCTCCACCCAAGGCTAAGAAGGCTGGGGTGGCATGCAGAATAGAGATGGAATATTAATTTCGCTTACACTTGGAATGTAGTCTCTTAGGATCCAGTGTTATGCAGAGTCACCTATAAGCTTATTCAGCCTGACAAGGTCCTGCATTTTACGTCTCACTTTTGAGATTCTGAAATGTTATTAAATCAAAGCTTAAATTTATGTTTGAAAGATCTCCCTAAGGCAAGTTTGCTTCAGTGATCCAGTTACCTCTCTTTCACTTACTTTGTAGCCTCCCAGAATAGCTTACATTCGTAATAACTCATTTGTTCATTACATACATACATACATACATACATACATACATTTATTTATTTATTTATTTTTGTACATGTGTGTGGTACTGAGGATGGAACCCAGGGTGCTTTACCACTGAACTACATCCCCAACCCTATTCATTTTTCACTTTGAGATAAGGTCTCAAGAATTGGCCCATGCTTACCTTGTACTTGTGATCTTCCTACTCAGCCTCCTAAACAGTTGGAATTACAGAAATGTGTCACAACACCCAACTAATTACTTTTTTATATTTCATCCAATGTGTATCTTGTGTTTATCAGAGGAGTTTTCATGGTCCTAGCTCATCATACTGCAAAAACTGGAGAGTCAGACCATTGTATTAGACCTAAGATTATTTTCCTATCCCCACTACTCTATATCTGTGTCATATCATATATGTATGTTCAACTTTTTAAGAAACTGCCAATGTTTTTCCACACTGGTTTTGAAATTTTATTTTATATATTTATTTGTGTATTCATTTTTTTGAGATGCTGCCCAGGCTAGTCTCAAACTTCAGGATATGAATCCCCATCAACAAAGTATGAGATTTCTTGTTTCTCCACATCCTCAGCAGCACTTGGTATTGTCAGTTTCTTTTACAATTAAGCTATTCCAATAGGTAGGTAGTGGTATCTCATGTGGTTTAAATTTATCTTTCCCTAATATCTAGGGCACGTGAGAATGTTTTCATATGCTTATTCACTATCTGTTTATCTTGTCTGAGGAGGTTTCTTTTCAAGTATTTTACCCATTTCCTCCTTTGGGTTGCTTTTTTATCATAGAGTTTTAACAGTTCTTTATGCTAACCACAAGTGCTTTGTCAGAAATGAGAGTTGAAAATATTTTCTTCCAGTCTCTGGCTTTTTTTTTCATCTT